CACTTTTGTGCATTAGAATCCAAATTATTGACACTTTTGTGCATTAAAATCCAGATTTTTTTTTAATACTTAGGTGCATTAATACCCAGGTTTTGACAGGTTTGTGCCTAATCCACTAGTTTACTACTCCATCTGGAAGAATAAAGTCATAATTAAAAGTTGATTAAATAGTTTTTCTTTTCACTTGGTTGCATAAAAGTGTCTAGGGGCTGCAGCCAGGTCTTACAACAGGAAGAAAACCCTGGAGTTGTAGTTCTAGTCAGTGTACAAAAAGGGGACAAAAGCTCACCAGTTAATTCACAGCCTTTAGTTGTGCAAACAGACTTAATGGTGGTATCAGTGGGAGTTGTAGTTTTATTAGCATAAGCAGTAGTTGTACTTTTATTTGAGATATTAGCAGTAGGTACAGGTTTTTTAGCATCAGCAGTAGTTGGAATTTTGTGAGCAGTTTTAGCAGTAGGCCTAGTTTTATTAACAGTAGTTGTAGTTATATTTGTGGTATTAGCAGTAGCTGTAGTTTTATTGGCAGTACTTGTAGTTTTGTCAGCAGTATTAGCAATAGTTGTAGTTTTATTAGCAGTAGGTTTAGTTTTATTAGCATTAGATGTAGTTTTATTAGCAGCATTAGCAACATTTGTAGTTTTATTGGCAGTAATTGTAGTTTTATCAGCAGTATAAGCAGCAGGTTTAGTTTTATTAGCAGTAGTTGTAGTTTAATGAGCAGTAGTTGTAGTTTTATTAGCAGTAATTTTAGTTTTATGAGCAGTATCCGGAGTAGTTGTAGTTTTATTAGCAGTACTTTGAGTTTATCAGCAGTGTTAGCAGAGTTAGCAGCAGCATCAGTCAGCCTGAGGCAGGGGCGTTACCCAGCAGTGTCTTGTCATTTCGGTGCTGTTTCCTGATTGGCTGTCTGTCGTCAGCAGGTCAGGCCAAAGCCGGCCACGCCCACCAACGTCCCCATCGCCCCGGCCCCTCCCCCGCCCATGATGGCGGCCCCCCAGCTGCTGCAGAGGCCCGTCATGCTGGCCACCAAGCTGTCGTCCTCGCTGCCGTCGGCGGCCCCCATCCACCAGGTGCGCATCGTCAACGGGCAGCCCTGCGGCAAGACCGGCTCCACCCCGCTGACGGGCATCGTCATCACCACGCCGGTCTCCGCCACGCCCACCCGCCTCGCCAGCCCCGCCCAGGCGCCCAACCCAACCCCGGTCCCCACCCCGACCCCCGCCCAGCCAATCCAGATCAGCAGCCTGACCACTGAGCCCAAGGTAAGAGTTTAGTACTGAGTCGATGCTGTGCCTGAGCTGTACTGTGAAGGCCTTTATGATCTGATACCTACTTAATTAGTGCATGTTCACCATAGATACTTTTATGTGTTGCATTGTATCGCATTAGTCGTCACATTTTTCTTCACTGTGGGCTCATTTTTCACTGCAGTGTAAAGTAATGCACCTCTATAGAAACACCACCACCATGACTAGAAGAATAAAGCATTCAGAAATGTCTTCTGTGCAGTGTGACGCAGTTATAACATCGTGAATCATAAAGAAAGAAAACATGTAATACCAACATTCTTCTAAGTGTCCACAGGTGTCATTAATCCTGGAAAACAATATAGCAATAGATGTTTAACTATTTACATTTTGAGTTAGTCTTCATACTCGTCTCCTCTCTGCTCTGTGTAAACACTGCCTGCAGTTCAGCCGAGAAGTCCCTGAATTTTGCTTTTTTAACACCTAACATCTGATTAGTACGGAGCCCCAGAAGGGACATGGAGAAATGAAAAAAAAAAAAAAACAGGGAGAGGGGAAAAAAAAATAGAGGTATCTTTTGCGAGAGCTCGCAAAACTTTCCCGGGATCTCGCAATAACTTTTGCAAAATGAAATGGAACTTAACTGTATGATCAGTGAAAATGAAGGCGTATAAATCAACAATATGAAATCAAAGGACACGTTTAGTTGAAGATGTCACTGGATTAAAATGGTCGTTTTTAACAACAATTTAAAGTATGTTATTTAGCATCTGTTGTTGAGTCTGTGCTTTAAAGTTCAGAGAGTTTGACTCCCCTGTATTTCAGGAGGTGGATTGTTCCCCTTGATGGCACCAGAATAATAAAACTGGTCTGTGATCGATTCTGTTGAGGTTCTACAGACTTAAACCTGCCGTTATCTTCCTCCTCCTCCTCTTCCTCTTCCTCTCAGCAGACTGTTAAATCAGGAGGAGCAGAGCAGAAGGCCGTCGTCAGCCTCCCTTCCTCCTCCACCCCGCCGCTGTCTCCACCTCCCAGACCCAAGAAGGAGGAGAACCCAGAGGTATGAACCACAGACTGATGACGCACCGTCAGGTTCAGTGGTCGAGTCCTTTATCAGGCTGATAGCTGACCAAAGGAGACGAGGCTGAACTGCTGTTTGCAAAGTTTACACTCGACTTTTTGCAGCCACACTGACGACTTCTTCGTCCTGGCGTCACTTGACTCTGAGTAAAAGTTCAGTAACTGATGAATAACTGAGTCCTGGAAAGCTGTTGATGTAGCTCTTCTCTCCTCAGTGTTTATGTAAAGAAACTATAAGAAACCTGTAAAATGCAAAGTGTTAGTAAATGTTAAGACTCACGTTTATATTTGGCTGATACTAATGCGTTAATATTCAGGTTATTGGCACTTCTGAGCGTTATTATCCATGATTTGTCTGTTAATATCTGGGTTATTAATACCTCTGTGGCATAATATTCTATTCTTCCCCCCCTTTTTTGCATTAATATCCAGATTTTGGACACTTTTGTGTGTTAATATGCAGGTTATTGGCACTTTTGTGTGTTGATGCTCACGTTATTGAGACCTTTGTGTGTTAATATCCAAGTTGTTGACACTTTTGGGGCGTTAATGTTGAGATTTCTGTTACTTTTGTTCATTAATATCCAAGTTTTTAATACTTTCTTGCATTATAATCCAGGTTATTGGCACTTCTGTGTGTTAATGTCCATGTAGCTGAGACTTTTGTGCGTTAATATCCAGGTTTTCAACACTTTGATGTGCAAAATCCAGACTATTGACACTTTGGTGTGTTGATATTCTGGTCATTGACACGTTTGTGTAGTGACACACAGTTTTTTTTTGCATTTATATCCAGGTTTTTGACACTTCTGTGTGCTAATATCCATTATATTGGCACTGTTTTTGTAATAAATCATGGTTATTGATATTTCAGTGCCGCATTAATTCATTTTATCATTTTAATACAGTACTATAAATGCATAATAACACATCAGAGGACATTCTTCTGCAGCCTGAGTGCTTTTACTTTGGATACTTTAAGTACATTTTGCAGATAACACCTCTGCGTAGGGGTACCCAGTATTTTTATTACACTGTGTTATTTGTACGTGACATCATAACACTGTTGCACCTCTGCCTTCCAGAAACTGGCCTTTATGGTGTCTTTGGGCCTCGTAACACACGACCACTTGGAAGGTGAGTTACAGTTTTACCAGCAGCGGGATCCTGAAGCTGCCGCCGTGCACGTCTCTACAGTCACACTCTGTTTCTATCCGCAGAAATTCAAAGCAAAAGACAGGAGCGGAAGAGGAGAACGACGGCCAACCCGGTGTACAGCGGCGCCGTGTTCGAACCCGAGGTACGTTCAAGAGTGCAGCAACACAGACACTTTATTCAGTTATGTGATGAGCAGTCCTGATACAACTGATTATGCTTGGATTCGTCAAACCTGAAACTCATTTGTTGCAGCTTAGTTTTGGGTAATTTAGCTGTTTTCTTCTGTTGAACACCAAAATGTTTGAACTTGCAAACTTCAACTTTTTGTGCAAACCAAAAGGTTGTCTACAAACATTTTTTTTGTCTTTGATTTTGTATTTTTAAAAAGATGTTTTCACTAAAATTCCACATTTCAGTGGCAGAATATTTTCCACAAAGCAAAGAGAAAGTCAGACGCAGGTTATAAATCCTGGTTGGTTAAAGCTTATTAATTCCTACACCCACTGAAAACTTTGTATTGTTGTGTACACATACACTGAAGTCATTAACAGCAGTGTAAAGTTGAATTGTGAGCTGCAATAACCCACAAAACATAATTAGGAGGAGCAGAGTGTATTGGAAATATTTCTGTTTGTGAAAGTGTACGCTCTAATTCTCATTCTATCTTTACACGCTGTTGATTGACGATGATCGATAAAAACTCACTGAATTTTTGTCTCGTGACTGTCGGTCGCAGCTGAGTCGGCAACCGCTTTTGCGCCACAATATACAGAATTTTTGCTTTTTTTTCAGAATCTAATCAGAGCAAACGGTGTATTTTTGGCAAATTTTAAATAAGACAAACTGTTTTAAGCTTAAATTTGGTTAATTTTCCCCACTCAGCATTAAAGTTACTCGTGATATGTTCAAGGATTGTTGCAAATCTGATGATTGTTTACAGTTTTTACAGTTTCCTGCTGATAAATTTTGCCCTTTTTGGTGATTTCTTTTTAAGTACCTTCCAATGCACTGGCTGGTTTTGGGATTTAGAGAGTAAAGTGTCTGAAATGCTGCAGGGAAACATGCAGATGAGCTTTATGTCATAGTAAAATTTCACTAACACGCTGTTTCTCCCTTTTTTTTTCTTTCAGAGGAAAAAGAGTGCAGTGAGTTACCTGAACAGCCCTCTGCACCAGGGGACCAGGAAGAGAGGTCCGTATGAAATACCGGTCAAAGACGGTAGAACCAGAGTAGACTCCAGTAGAGTCAGACAGGGACGAGCGTTTGGTTTTACCGAGGCTCAGAACAGTCGACAGCAGCAGATCCGCTAGAATAGAGACTAATCTGCTCAGTGCTAATAACACGCTGTGAAACTTCCCTCCTTCTCCTGCTTTCTGTTTCCTGTCGCTTCAGTCGGGTTTAAAGCCGGATTTATGCTTGTTTGTCAAGAGTCGAGCCGCCGAAGCTTCAGCGCCGCTCACGTCAACCGCCTCGGTGTAAAACGCTCCGGCTGCCGCTGGTTTATTTCCGCCGGCAGAGACTCTGAAAGTGAAGACAACAGTCGGTGTGTTAAAGAAGGCTCAGTGTAATCCTCCCGTTCTCTGATATTATGTCCTTTTACTAAAGCTTCTTATCACCGAAGCGCAAAAGTGAATGAAAGGATGTAAACATGAGCGCTCGGGGTTTAGAATGAATGCAGGACAATAAACTTACAAACACTGTTGAAAAGAGTTTTTACCAGTGAAATTAGAAAAAGAAAAGCAGTTGTAGCTTTAAAGGCGTTTTATTGAGGTTAGACAACAATTTAACGAAATGTGAATAGTGCTTCTGAGGCATAAAAGCATTTAAGACAATAAAAAAACAACAAACAAAACGTTAGAATTAAATAAAATGCAATATAGAAATAAATATAAAAATCTGTCATACAAGAGAATAGACAATGACAATACAGTTCTTTAAAGTAGAGTTTCATGGAAAGACGAACAAAAATCCCCACGTTGAGACATTTTACTTTACAGGTGCATTCAGATTTTTGAAAAATGTTCCTCAAGCTTTTCACAAAACAGAAAAGATATGAAAGAAGACCAAAATAAGCAGGTTTCAGAATTAAGAAAAATAAAGAATAAGATAAAATAGAAGGATAAATATTAATCAAGAGGATGAAAAATACAATTAAAGTTGGAAGAAAGTTGATTTCAGTCCAAAAATACAACAAAAACGAAACGAAACCGACCCTGAGCAGCTAAATTTAGTTATTTCTGATTTATATTTATTTAGCTGGAGGATGTTTTGTGACATCCAACGCTTCATTTCTGATGAAAGTTTCCTTTTTTACTGTTACAACGAGAATTTTATTGCAATTTTTATGCGGCTATGGAATCCTGTGATCGATTAGCACATGTTGAAAACAGTCTGTTGTTTATTGGTTTAAACATAAAAAGAAAAATCGTGAAGTTTCAATTCAATTCAGATAACTTTATTTATCCCCTTGGGGGCAATTCAACAAAAAAGCTGACACCACAAAGCTTCATTATGTCCAGTGGGTTGAACTTATCAGAAACTCACCTCTTTGGCTTTTGGAATAAATCAGCCGATTTTACATTAAAACAATCAAGCTGATTATTGATTATCACATTTTAAAAATCTGCTCAGTTGTGGGTTGTGGAACAAGATCTGAACAACCAGATAAAATTAATCAACAATATTCATATAAATGAAAACGTTGGCGTCACTGATCAAGCAGAAGAGCCACCAGCATGCTTTCTGCTTTCATCTGCACACGTTGGGTGTTTTTGCTGATTTATTTTCTTCTTAAAAAAACGTCACCTTCAACCAATTTTGTGCCATTTTATTGATTTAATCTACGAACCAAATAATATCAATAAATCCCTCATCAGTGGCAGCTGCTGCTGAAATATACAGCCGTGGTTGTTTGTGACCGGACCTCGATGGAGAAGCATAAATCTGGTTAAACCTTCATCTTAAAGCCTGTACTTTTCTCTGGTAATAGCTGAAGTGCATCCTGGGAATTGTTGGAAGAATTAATAATGTGTTCATTATGGCAGATTGCTTTTCTGAGAACACAGTCACACTGACTTTTAACTCGACTAACAGGAAGCTCCGTCTGTAACTTCACACCTTAAAAAATACTAAAAACTGACTCTCAGAAGCTTCCAGTTCGTCAAATTTTTTTTTTTCTCCTGTTTTGATTCCTCACTGAGGTTTAACATGAAGCATTAATAATTCCTTCACAGCCTCCCTCTGACTTGTTTTCAGCAGAAGAAGCTAAATGTTGTTGTCACGTGTAACTCGCAGTGTCAGATTTTAGCACATCAGTCGTCATCTTTGATGTTGTGATTCACTGGATTTGAAAGATGTCGCAGGTTTCGGAGTAAAAGAGCTGCACATAAACTCGAGGTGATAAAAAGCAGATTTTATTGGCCTGAATGCGGAAGTGAAGTTTGCATTCATGACCTGCTGCAGCCTCTCCTTTCTCATTGGTTCCACTTCGGGTTTGTCTTTCAACTTCAGGTTGCCTCACGCTAAATCAGATTTTCTGGCATTAAAGTTGCAGATATCTGTGGTTGACCGGTCGACACAGCAGCTCTTTTCTAGGCCATGATTTTTCTCCCCCAAAACAGCCTTGAAAGAGTTTCTACGGATTTGGTTCCTGCAGTCGGTTCTTGTGCAAAGATTCAGTTTCCCCTGAAAGAAGTTCTTTCAGTGGAAGATAGCTTCATCAGCAGGTTTTTTTCTTCTGTTATTCCTGATTATGTCAAAGCTCGGTGACCTCAAACCAAATAAACTTGTCAGTAGTTACAGGTTTTTAAAATGCTGGAAAAACAGAGTTGAGTCCAGGCAAAAACAGCATAAAAGCAGCAGAATCTTCTTTCAAGCAACTTCTGTAAAACTTTCATTAACCTTCAGAGAGAACGGCCGTCCAAGAAGGAACTGTTGAGGAGAAAAACTCTCTCCTGCAGCTTCATTTGGATCCTGGCTCCTCCGTGAGTTTCTCAAAAAGCTCCTGTGTGAACGTGCAGCTTTATTCTTAGCATTTTAAGTTTTTTTTTTTTGGTATTTTAAGCCTTTTGTTTGACAGTTGCAGTGAAGACAAACCGAAGAGAGCAGGTGAACGACACGCAGATAAAATCCAACCAGCTGGGAATCAAATGAGGGACTCTTTGCTCAGGGGATATTCTCCCTAATTACTTGGTTATTTGCTTGCCCCAAAATGAAGCTTTATTCTTAGAAACACACTTAAAAAAACACAATGACCGGTCAGTGTAGTCGTGTTTATTAGAAGTAGGCCAAAGGTATAAACCTGCCATTAGCTGCTCATTTCAGAGGACTTTTTCCACTGTTTGCAAAATTCCCTTCAGTAGGGGAAACGGAAACCTCTGAGCAGCAACTTGTACAAATGTCTATGTTTCAAGACTGACTGGCGGAGATCACTGTGGGCGAAACACATGTGGCAATATTGGTTTAATAAACTTCCATAAGTGCTGCATACTGATAGCAAATCATCTGAAGTGAGTCCAGTGAGATCCTTTACAGCACCAGTTATTTGGAATTATCCGTTGTAATGATTAAACTTTAGTGTCCGCCAAAACAAATTTCCCTTCGTCACTATTTTGCAGACAGATATTGGGACACGCTGTAGCCTGTACGTACTCCTGGTCCCAGCCTGTGTGGTTTAGCATCGCCCAAGATGATTGATTTAAGAAACAAAAACAAGCCAGAATGGCAGTGAGGTGCAGTCAGACCATGCTCTACTGCAGAATGAACTGTGACAACAAAACAACACCAACAAGCAGCTGATCACAGTGATTGTATATCAGGCGGCTGCAGCTCGAAATCATATTCTAAACCTGCAGAGAGACGCAGCACCAAGTTAAAAGACAAACCCGCGAGTCCAGGTGACTGAGGTGTGCTAACATCTGACACGAGTCCATCCAGCAGGTTTGTACTGGTGCTCAGCTTCAGCTTGCATGGAGCCAGTCTCCTGCACTAACACTGCTGTCTGTGCTTCTGACTCCTCCTCTTCCTCCTCTTCCTCCCTCACCGCTCCCCTGACTCATGCTAGCCAACGAAGACTCCCTTTCCAAGGTATGTCATACAGACTGTTTGTTTTTGTTTTTCCCCCCTCTCCATCTTTCTTTTTTTTCTTTGTTTTCCGTCTTTGTCGTCTGTCTCATTTCACCCAGGTCGCCCACCCAAATACAGCAGCGTCCCGGAGCTGGGCAGCCTCACCCCGACCTCCCCCTCCAGCCCCGTCCATCCCCTCCCCCTGCCCAGCCCCAGCTCTGGGGATGTAAGTAACGATGGGGGAGACGGACAGTTCAGAGGGTTGGACACCCCGTCACACACAGTCCTATTGGCCCAGTAGCTCTGTCAGTCATTTACACCCCAACACGTCCATTTGGTTTGTTGTGTCCATGTGATAACCATCAGCCATCAGTTGGTTTTACTTTGATTCAGCCTTACAAAGTGAACAGTGTCCTGTAGCCCATTAATAACTAGAACACACTCTAACTCCCAGATGTCCAGTAACCTTTCTGTGGGCTCAGTGATTAACACACCATGTCCATTAGACATCCAAACAAGGCCAGCTGTAAATTAACCGATCATGGTGCCTCCCCCCGCCTCGCCTCTCCACAGATGGTTGGTGGGGCTCCGCTGGGCAGGGAAACTGATTGGTCCAATTCTTCCTCACAGGGAGACATCCATGAGGATTTCTGCACTGTGTGCAGACGCAGTGGCCAGTTGCTCATGTGCGACACGTGTTCTCGTGTTTATCACCTGGACTGCCTGGATCCACCCCTGAAAACCATTCCTAAAGGCATGTGGATCTGTCCAAAATGTCAAGATCAGGTAACCGCTGCAGCCGAGACTGATCCTGAGTCAGGGGGAAGGGGGTACCTCAGTCCAGAGAGGAGCCTCTCAGGGCCTGTAGCTGTACTGTAGGACTGTTCAAGCCTTTGTAAGCATAAACATGATGCAGTATTGTTTTTTTGTGCTTCTGTCTCATTCATTGTGTCAGTAAAGATTGGCATCTCACATCCATCCACTCCATTGCTTGTCCCTTTTCGGCCCCACCACAGGGTGGCGGCTAAACTTGTCTTCCTCAAAGTCTTTCTTTTCCCCCGAGTCTCAGCCTCTGTGACAACTCCGAGCTTCTCTCTGCAGATCCTGAAAAAAGAAGAAGCCATTCCCTGGCCTGGCACCCTGGCTATCGTTCATTCCTACATCGCTTACAAAGAAGGTGGCGGCACGTTGTTTTCTTTAAATCGCTCGTCTGCCGGGACGCGTGAGGACGCACTGACGCTGTGGTGGTTCTGTCTTTCAGCTAAAGAAGAGGAGAAGCAGAAGCTGATGAAGTGGAGTTCTGAACTGAAACTGGAGCGAGAGCAGCTGGAACAGAGAGTCAAACAGCTCAGCAACTCCATAACGGTGAGGAAGTCTGTGAAGCAGCTCAGCAACCCGCCGAATATAAGAAAAATAAATCAATCAATAAGTAAAACAAGTGGCAGCACGACGAGTAGGGCTTCCGCTAGCGATTATTTTTCTGTAGTTTAAATTATCAAATATATTTTCAACCATAAAAACGACCTCGTCCTTTAAATCCATGTGATTTTAACAAACATTGTGTTACAGCATGAAACGTAAACAAAGGTTTCACATTAAAGTGCACCACTGTAGGTTTTAACTGGAAACTCCAAAATGATAAAAATAAAAAGAGAACTTATTATTTAAGTCAGTAATGCAACTTTAAAAGAAATCCCAGTTTCTATTAAAAAAGTTAAATTTATGTGGATATTTTAAAGCAGCTAAAGCAAATTTTTCTCTCCTTATTGAGCAATTGTCCGTTGTTTTAATAATAGCTTTGAATTCTATGTAAGTATTGAATTCACTACACAGTCGTCGTCTTTTAACTTCTGCATATGGTGAGTTTGTCATTGCAGTTCTAAAATCGTAAGTCCCAGAGGAAGAAGGTCTCTACCTTTGTCCAGATCATTTGCATTCCAGACCACATTGTTTGTTAATATTCTGTTTTTAAATCACAGCTTGTGCAACAGTTAGTTCAAATAAGAAGCAACACTCTTAACACCAATTCCAAGTGAACACCAGTGGGTTTCTGGACGATTGTTTTGAACAATATGATAAAAATCTTTTCACTAGTGGTCCAGACCTCCAGTCAGATTTGAATCAGCCATTAGCTTGGCTGCTGTTCAAAATGTTTGTTTCCAATAAACCCGCGATATATAATTTCAGCTCTTTGATTTAAACACTTAGAAATATTGAAAGCTCAGAATACAACAAAACCAAATTCACCCCCCGATTTAATAAAATATACAAAATCAGATCTTATCAGGTATAAAAAGTGAAACGAGGTGTGTCAACACCAAGTAGAGGTGAAGCGCTAGTAGCTATAAAGATTAGTCCAAAATCTCAAATTACAGGAATCACATGGTGTCAATTCTGACCCTGTTTTTTTTTTTTTTCTTGTCCCATCAGAAATGCATGGAGACCAAAAACACCATCCTGGCTCGGCAGAAGGAGATGCAGCTTTCACTGGACAAAGTCAAACACCTGATTCGCCTCATCCAAGCCTTCAACTTCAACCAAGCCCTGGCAGAGACGGAGGGTAAAGACGTCAGAGTGCAGGACAGTGCTGAGGCCGCAGGCGCCTCTGAAGCTGCACCAGAAGTCAACTCTGTGGAGAAGGCGAAGGCGAGCAGCTCCTCAGCCAGCGGCGGCACCGACGGAGGCGACAAACAGGAGGAGAAGGGAGCCGTAGGGAGCAACCAGACGCCCGACGCCGACGGCCAGCCCGACAGCACAGTCCTAACAGCGGATAGCAGCCCCGGTGCAGGGGCGGGGGGTAAGGCGGGGCCTGGGGCCGGGGCCGGGGCAGGGGGAGGGGGTAACACAGGGACCGGGCTCCAGGCGGAGGTCGCGGCCAAGCCTGAGACTGAGGCAGCTCCGGTGGCTGACGTTCCCGCCTCCTCAGCGGTCGCGACTGTCGCCACCACCAACGGCACGACCGAGCCGACCTGCCCCGACCACAGCCCCGCGGCGGGCTGCACCGCCAACGCCACCACCAACTCTGAGAACAAGATGGCTGCCGTCAACCCTCCAGAGACAGCGGTGGAGAAGAAACAGGAGGAGGTCACTGACAGTGACGGCAGCAACACCAACAACAGCAAAACCTCAGAACCCTCCCAGCATTCTTTGCCAGCTCTGGTCAGCAGTTTGGACAATAAAAAGTAATGCTACGTCTCTGGAGTCGCGGGAATTCAAACATATATATTAAAAAAAAAAAAAGACTTTGCTTGCACCGTAAGGTGCCCTGAAGTTGCCAATCTGTATAAATGTTGTTTGTTTGCATTGTATTGTCAGACTGTGTCAATGGTAGATATACAGCCCAAGTCACATGACTCTGGGAAGACGTAGGCTGTTCCACCCACAAAGCTGGGCTACAGGAAGGCGTACGCACCAGTGTCATCATGCCAATTAGTGATAGACGTCATGGTGGGAATGCTCAAAGGGAGATTTAATTCATCATCACACCAGTGTGTGCCTGTTATAGTGGCCCCTGTGTTCTCTGGTGGGGTGGGGAGACGGTTCACATGGGTACAAAGATAACCGAGAACATGGAACCAAACATCTGTCAGGGGTTACTGGTCTAAGAAGCAGTGTTGTGATAGTATGAAAAGAGAACCTGTTCATCCCCTCGTCCCAACGAGCTTAATGTGAACAACCTTCTGCAGTCCGATGATCTCCTCAACGTTTCAACAGTCCTGAACCTTAACCATCAGTCCTAACCTGTCCTAGTTAACTCCCCTGAATCCTAAACCAACCAACCTTCTGTCAACCCACGACTAAACCGTCCCTGTAGACCAGCAGCAGGAACCTGAGACTGACAACAATTCAGCATGACCTAAAGGGTTCAGTATGCTTCAAACAAAGTGTCGTCTGAGTAGAGATACCCAAAGGCAGCATGACATTTGCAAAAAATGCAATCAAGCCAAGAAATGTGGGTAAAGTTTTCAGTCTCTCCTTGAAGATGATCATATCAAAATTGTAACACGAATGAAAAATATCTTGGACGTAATCGTCAGAAAATTATGCAGATTCTTCGATGCAACCTTCTGAATTCTAATGTTGGGAAGCTGTGGGCGGAGGGGAACGTTGGACGCTGTTTGATGACCTTTTATCAACCACCGGCAGTAACTCTAACACAGTAACAAGTTTTCTCCAGTGCAAGACTTAACCCCGGCCAGCAAGCACATCCAGAATACATTTGCATGATTGTTGGATGTTTAGGTGGTGTTGGAATAAGGGCTTACAGACACCCAACAAGCACTTAAACTGACATCCTTATCTTACCGATCTTCAGCCAGTCAGATAATCAGAAGCAGTGACCTCCCCATCCATCCATTAGCTTTCAGACTTCATCCTGTAGAGTTGCTGGGGGCTGAAGCCGTTCTCAGATGACAGGGGATGGAGGCAGGTTACACCCTGGACAAGTTTCCAGTCCATTACAGAGCAAAAGCAGAATTTGCAATTCTAAGAGAAATTACAGCATGATTGCTGAAAGCTGTTGCAGCTTGTACGTTACAGTACAGGCACAAAAGATTCTGGTATCAAACCTGCAAAAACCTTCCCCTAGTCCCCAAAAAATTGGAGTTTATGTCCTTTTAACCTTTACCTTGCCTTCCCTTTGAAAACAAAGTGCTCGCCAAACAAGAATCCTGCCTCCCCACCTCTATATACCCGTCAGTCTCTGCATAAAGCCTTGCAGAAAGTGTTACAGAAGCATACTCACACATTTAAACTGACGTATGCAAACAAGAAAAGAACTGATATAACCAAAAGACTTTAGGATGCTTAAGGTCAACTGCTTTGTGCAAAGTTTTGTGTCATTTACAACCTTGTTAAGGTTGTTTGAAGCATGCCGATGCCTTTGAATAGATTCCCAAACGTTACCATCAACCTAAACCATTGACGCACCAAAAAACTAGACCTGAATTTAGCCCTAGCCCAGCTAACTGAAGAATCTTTCCTCTCCCAGTCACCTAACAATATAACGTTATCCACAGCAAGTATTGGACGCGTGTTATTGAAGCATACTGATACCTAACTGAGGTACCTGACTTCCCCAGTATCCTCTGATCTAAGCATGAGCTTACTTTCAAAGGCCTGTGAACAATTCGTGACCATTTCCTTGAACCCGTAGGGCTTCAGTGTGCCTCCGGTCAACTGCTTTGTGCAAAGTCTGAAGTGTTGTTTACAACTTCGTAAAGGCCCCCTTAAGGATACTGATGCCTTGAAACAGACTTCGCCAACGTTAAAATCAACTTAAACCGTCGACTCAACAAAGCAAACATGACTACTCCAAATGACGTGAACCTGATTTAGCTCTGGCCTAGCGAACTGAAGAATCTTACGTACAGAAAGTGTTGAACATGTATTATTGAAGCATTCGGATACCTTCAAACTGAGGTACCCAACTTCACCATCAACGACTGACGTAAGCCAGAGCTTACCTTCAAAGGCCAGCAAATGATTTGTGGCCGTTTTCTTGAACCCAGAAGGCTTCAGTGTGCTTCAGGTCAACTGCCTTGTGCAAAGTCTCGTCTGAAGTGTCGTCTACAACTTCTTAAAGGTCATTTGAAGCATACTGATGCCTTCAAACAGACGTACCAAACCTACAAACGAGAGACAGTGACTTTCCCCTCCTGACTAAATCTGAATTTAGCCCCTAACCCTGCTAACAAAAGGAATCCTCCGTCTCCCAATGACCAGACCACCAACCAACAGTCCCAGTTACCCTGCCCTCTCCCCATCTCTCCCCCACCTGCATCCCTGAGCTCAGGCAGAAACGCCGCTGAGCGTCGCGTTCAGCAGGTACGGAGGACGAGGTCGAACAGGCGCCGTAGCCTAACAGATGTTTTCAGTGGTGTCGGTCAAGTGTAGTGATTGAGTTTTCATTCGTGAGTCAAGTGTGTCAACTGTGAGCACTAAATGTGAAATTGCAATATTGCAATGTCAACACACACAAACTATATCTGGGCTGTGTTTCTTTTTTATAGGAAAAGATATTCAGGTCTTCCTAGTCTTCAGAATAAGTGCTTTCTGTTCCTGAACCTGCTGGACTGGCATTATCAACACAAAAAGGAGTCCTCTTTTTGAAGTGGTGATCTTCGCATTCTGTGCATTTCTGTTGAATCCTGAACTGCCAAAACGATGTTGTATCCAAATTCAGCAGGGACAAGTCCACTTACTGTTTTGAAAGATCAAATCATTTGGCGTTGTAAGATATAGATGCTACCATTTCAGAAATTGGAAGTCCCCAGATTGAGACAGGAGAGCTTATTAAACAATAACATTAAAGGAACTTTTTGTCCTTGAAATGGAGGATTTGTCGTACGAACCTGCTCCTGCAGACGGATCTCAAAGGACGATACCACAAATCCTGAGATTAAAGCACAAGCTTGCTGCATTACAAAGAAGTGCTGAAGAGCTTTTTGTACGTTAATATGGAATTAAACAGAGTATGCATCTCTTTGTTGTGATGTGACTTATCCCCACATTGCCAATATTTTTCTAGGAGGAAATACAAACCTCTGTCTGACATTAAGGCTCAAGTCTAGTTCATGTTTTCAGGAGGAGTGCCCGGGCTTCTGCCGTCTCAGAAACCCCTTCATCCCCTCACAGTTAGACATCTCTTTTCTTTCTGGAGCATGTCTGGGCTGAAATGTGACGCTGTTATTCGTCGGCTTGGTGGCTGTCAGTTCGGGTCTGTCTTTGTCTGGTGAACTGATCATGACTTCTGGCTTCTTGTTGGGTACGGGGCGGTTACAAACTCTGGTCTGTTCATTAACGGTGCCTCTGGTTGTGCTGGACTTTTTTTTGTTGTTTATTTCTTTTTCTTTTTTGCTATATTGGAGCGTTGTTGCTTAAATTTTAGCCGTCCAACAATGTATTTCACCCTTGTGTGACCCTCGATGTGTTGAAGGTTCAAATCTTCAAACCTGCTTTTAATTTGTGTTGTTTGTCTTAATGATGAGAGCTTTACAGCCATGCTAGCTGCAAGTGTTCACTTTGGGAACATTTTATGCATCTGTCAATGAATCGCCATGACATTTTTTTACAGACTTCATGACCTCCAGAGGATGAACCTGACTGATGTTGGTGATCCTCTGGCCAGCGTTTTAATGCGTCCAACACTTTGGTTTATGACCAAACACCTGCAAAACAAAAGACATTCCCATCAGCCTGAGGTGGACCACTAATTAGCTAATGCTAGCACGCTAACATGCTAAGCAAACTTGGTAAATATTAAACTTTCTGCAGACCTAGAGTCAAAATAACAGACTTGCACAGGCTTCTTGCACAAGCTAGAATCAGTATGAGCAGATATGATGATGGTATAATGCCAGAGCTGCCGGATGATAAAAACCCCCACGTGGAGTTTTGCTGCACGTGTTAGCATGCGACCGTTTTGCTCAAAGCATGACTGTATCTAAGGCCAGTATTATTTTTTCCATGAGTTGGTAAGGGTCCACGAGTCGTAAATTTTAGCAACTCCACAAAAATCCACACAGAACCTCTTTATGGACGTTCGCATGCTGCCCAAAATTTGTGTTTATGTGGCGACTAGAGTTTGTAAATGCAACAACTGTGCATCTGTGGTGTCTGCAGCTGTCCAAATATGCTTCTGCGAGGGAGTATAGTCGAGGCTTAAAGCTGCGTTCGGTTCACGTCTACGGTCATAAAATTTCCAAGTTGAACATTCCAGATTCCGATCTCAAAGCATTCCGACTCACAGCGATCATCAGACTCGTTTTCAGGTCGTAACTGGGTACAGCAACAACACTTAGCCAAATAAATGGCGGGTGGAGTTTGGTCCAATTATTACACACACACAGCTAACCACGAACGTTACAGAACATTTTATTCTGCGTCATTTACTGGTAGAACCTCAGTATAGTTTGGCTTTTATAGATGCTGCCAAACGAGATACGTAAAACTGGTCAACCTCAAGAGTCGCTCTGATGACTGTATTTAAAAGATGGACGCACCCACCATGACATGTGGACTACTGACTTTAAATATGGAATTTTCAATCGACATCTTAGTCTTTTGAAACTGGACACAACAAGTGAGAGGTGGATCTGACTTAAAACTGGAGGACGTGCCCATTCGGGAGCAACCGTTCAATCACAAAAAAGCGTGATCTGCTTTATCGTCTATTTTCTCTAAATGGGGCCATAATTCACAAATTCAATACCGTTCTATATTGACAGAGACTTGAAACTACAGTTTGAGACCGTAAGCACATTAGTAAAATGTTTACTAAAGTGGCAGATCAAATGAGAAGGCGGGTCATTTTTGACTTGTTTTTGCAACCAGCGGAGTCGCCCCCTGCTGGCTCTTAGAAGTAATGCAGGTTTAAGGCACTTCAAAGTTGACTTCAAATGTCCGCCCCGGAGGACACGTCCATCTTTTATACAGTCAACAGTTTTGCTCAAGGCATGACTGTCTAAAGTGGTGTTTTATTGACATTGGAGGTCAGAAATGTTCAAATTCGGAGCTACGTAAGCGATTAACAAACTCGTCTTCAATTATCTGCACTGGCAGCAGAGCGTAACTGGATACAGCAATAAAACGAAGGAGGCGAAACGACGGATACAGTTCTCTGAGGAAACCACACACATACAGATGACGACTAACATAACCAGATGTTTTATTCTGCATCTCTTACTGATACAACCTCAGTACTGTTGACTTTTTCACACGAGGTGCATAAAACCGACCAGACTTCTCAGATGGAGCTCCAACCTTAAGGGTTGCTCTTCAAGTAGGAAGTTACAGGAGCTGCTAGCATGGCTGTAGACGCTCGATACCTCGTCGTATCAGGATGTTATGCTGTTGAATTTCATGTGGGAACAGCAGAGGAAACGTGGGTGAACACGTTGTTGGGCGGCTACAAACTTCTTTTTTTTTTTTTTTCTTACTTTCATATCACATGGACTCTGAATCCGCATATCTGACACCTGGTTCTCTGACATCAGCTGTACAAACTGCCTTCATTCAGAAGATCCCAGAACGTGTTTTGGCCACAGTGTGATTGATGTGATTAGTCTGTGACGAAGAGTTTAGCCGTTGAAACACGGAAAAGGAAAACAAGAGCCAGAGATGCAAGTCTAACAGAAAATGGCAACTAATGTGTCCTGAGTTCCTTATGAGTATCATTATTGTGTGTTTTGTTCTTTGTCGGCTTACTCGGGTGGATGTTCTTCTTCTTCTTCTTCTTCTTCTTCTTCTTCTTTCAACATGTCAGACTGTGTTCACTCGTGGATAGAGCAGAGTAGTCATCCAGTCTCTTCACTCAACAACTTTCAAAGAGCCCAAACTTGTTCCAGACAAACTGGACCTTTCCCTTCTGTACAGTAGGTACCTCGAGTGCCTTTCTTCAAACAGCAGATAATATTTGTCTCTTGACTTGCACTGTGACTTGTAGAACCTTACTAACCCTCCGGATAATCCTCCCACCCGACCCGACCCGACCCACCCCGTCCCAGGAGCTCCCCTCCAGACTCCGGAGCACAAACCCGGTCCCTTCACCTCAGGCTGCCAGTAGTCAATGCAAGTTGAAACTACATTTCATAATATGCCGTTTTAAAAATCGACCAGATAGTGTTTTGTTGTTGTTTAAAATAGGAGTTGCCTTAAATGTGTTTTATTTTACTTTTTACATTCAGGGGGGGGTTAAAAAATAAATAGAAGAGAAAAAAAAAAAAGACGCTGGCGGAGGTCGGAGGCAGTTTGGTGAGACGCTGTTGATGATGATGATGATGATGATGATGATGAAGATGAGATCTCGCTCGGAGCTGTTTTTGTGATGCACTTTTGGTTTGACCAGTATTATTATCAGACATCGGGATCAGTCATGCATTTTCTAGCCGGACTCGGGAGCTCGTTTGTTTTATTTTGAAAGGTCCGCCGTCCCCTCTGTGCTGTGGTTCTTCTTCTTGTGTTTTTTCGGAGGAGGGGTGAGTTTGCTAAATCAGGTCATGTGAGCCGGAGCCTGTGTGGAATGAACAAACTTAAAAAAAACCCAATTAGCAACATCTGTCCACTCAGCGTGGTGGAGCGCATGCCTTCTTATGCAAATTTTTATACAAGATTTGTCAAACCTTTTTTAATATGCATTTTGCTTTTTTGTTGTTGTTTTTTATTTTCAGTTTTTTATGTGAAACTCAAGTCACCTTGCTTTCTTTCTTTTCTGTTCTTTTCTTTCTTTCTATCTTTCTTTGAACATTCTGGCTCATCTCCGGATGCCAAACGTTGCGCAGCTTTTGGCGTTGCGGTTCGAGAGGAGACGTTTCTTCCTGGCGTTGTGTTTTATGGACGGAGCTGTAAAGGTTTCAGCCATGGATGTATGAAGGAGAGCTTAGATTAAACAAGATCCAAAAACAAGTCCATTGGCTTCACAATTGGCACAACCACTGCAGGAACTTTCAAGTTGGATTTAGGGCGGTCTGAACCTTTTACATGTTCTCTGATTGTGAAAACTGCCCCTTTAGAGCCTCTGTCAGGGCTGCTGGGGCAGGATAAAGTACCTACTCCAAACTGCTGTGCTGGTCGTGAAGCTGATTGGTTAAACTCAGAGAGGATATCAAGCGCTATTTTTTCTGCTTTCTCGATGTCCTCGTCCAGCAGCAGTGTTCAGCCATCTAACATCGAAATGAACGAACAAAACAAACCTTGCTTGTTCTGTTTCCTGCGTGCTTATCGAAGTGGAGTTATTACCTGCTGCTGGTTGTTGTTTTGGTGCACACGGAGTGAACTTGGAGTTCCTGCAGTGGAAAGCCACCTTTCATCAACTAACCGTTCAAAGCTCCGGTCAAGTTAAAGACCGAAAAGTATTCATAGCCGTTACCAATGTTCATTTAAAGTAGATTTTTGTTTGACCAACAAGTTTCTTCTGGCTGGAAACGACATGAACAAGAGGCAGTGAGATGTTGTGTTAGAGATGTTTATGGTGAATTTGAGCTGATTTTGTGTTTTGACCAATGTGATCAAACGGTTTTTGTATTTGCTAAGAAGCTTTTTGCATGTCTGGCTCATCGGCATGGCCTTGGTGGTGATTCTTCTTGGCCTCTACCATTCTCCCCAGCACAGGGCTCACTTCTGGCTTCCTATCAGGCCCTTTGACATTCGGCTTCTAAGCTTTTACTCTCATGTCTCTCAGTGATGGACTCCCTAAGCTCTTTAGTTTTAGTCACCATTGACGAATAGAACTCTCTAGAAAATGAAACAAATGTCTGCTCTGGACGTTATCAGCCCATTAAATGGCCTCTAATCATTGCACATCATTCCCATGCATGTAGACAGCCTAGCAGACCAGGAGACGAGTTAGTATCCGTTCTGGTCTTTGATAAACAGGAAGTACCCTTGATAAAGTTGTAAATAAGCGCATGTAAAATCTGTTGGTGGAGTCAATGTAGACCTACAAAGTGGAGCTTTGGAACTTAGAAAGGTGTATGTGAACCCAGAGTTAGATTTTCTAACACTAACCAAGATGCTCTGGTGCAGTAACTGAACCGTACACCGACTGAAAAACTGCAAAAAGTCAAAAAGATAAAACTCTAGCTCAAAGCTCTCTGGTGAAGTCCAATGACTTGCACCTCCAGCCTCCAAATTCAGAGTTTTGCTCGTCTTTGTAAGTGATAAAATGAGGCTGTTCCACCAATAACTTAGCTGATTAACGCCCTACTGAACCGATGACCTGCACACGTGTATGGGGATGATGTGCATTGGTAACGCCATGGCATCCACATTGGGTGATACCAATTAGCAAGACCATTTTGATTGCTATCAAAGCAACATTTTCTTAAAAAAAAAATTGCACCAGTGTCCAACGATGAATCATTTTGGACACGGTATTTTAAGTAAAACAATGAAATAGTTCAGATTTACCATTAACGTACTGTGCTATGTCACTTGTTTGGGTCATTTCCAGCCAAAATTCAGTAGAAATCAGTACTTTGCATGGCTGTGAGTAGTTTTTTTGGATTAACTGTGTGTATTAGATGCATAAAAGAGACAGTAAACGCCACCTGTTGTCCATCTAATAAGCTCTCTGACTACATCCATGGCTCCAGCTCCGTAGTTTAGGTCTTAATTTGAACTTGGCTAATGCACCATGCTGAATGTTGGGATCCCGGCAGAGCTGCGTGGAGGGTCGGGGGGCTCGATCAAGTCTTAAAAAATTGTTCCTCGCTTTCTATTCCAAGCTCTAAAAAGTGAATTTATCCAAAGAACACTGCACACGTTGCGTTTGTTTGGAAGCCTTGTCGCTGCATATCATCGTAGTTCCCCGCGTGTCAGCATCGTGTGCATTCACCAAGCTGGAAGACGCCCCGCTTTGAAAACAACCGACTCTGGTTCCCGTGAAGCAGCAGTTCGCTCCGACTCGAGTCTCTTTTCATTTCTTTTTCCCTCCGTTTTTAAAAACGATCAAGTCATGATTGTGGCCTTCTAGTATTCTGTCGGTACATGACGTCATTAATCTGTTGTTCCCGCTCAGCCGCCATCCTTCCTTCCATCCATCAATCCATCCTGTCCGGACCCAACTGTACACCTGCAGCTTCTTACCTCATCCACAGCTGATTCCATTTGGGGGTGTGTTGAGTGCAAAAAAAAAAAACAAAAAACAAAAAAAAAAAACCATGGAAAAAAAAATGAAATAAAAGAAGTCTTTTTTAATCTTCCATTTGGTGAGATGCATTGTAGCGATATGAATAAAGAAAAAGTTCACCTGGTGTGCTGAATAATGTGTAAATTGGTAATTACACAATCTGAATATTTGTATAATTGTTTGTATTTTTTCATAATGATTTTGGAAAGGAATGTGTTTATTTTTTTGACTTCTGTTCCAGATGTGTCTTCTGTTGGCCTGACATTGTGACTGGTCTGGTGGGATTCTTACCTCTGTATTGAGCCTCTTCTGTGATGAATTCTTTGTATGCAGTGTTTAGGAAATACTGTAGGGAACATGGGGAGGAGTTGATATTAGGAGCATTTGATCAATTTGTATTTATTTATTTTATCATTTTGTTAATAAATTGTGAAAAGCAGAGAGTCTCGTGACTTTGTTTTTATTTCAGTTTTGTTTTTATGATCCTACCGTTTTAGTTCACCTTATTATTTATTAAATATTTTTTGGAATCACTGAAAATACCAAATGTTTCAGGGTCTGTTCATCCCCCAGACAAACTGATAAAGAAACATACTTTGACATAAAATAATTCACAAATATGCACATCAGCAATAAAACAAATGTTTGTAATCAAAGTTCAAATTTGATATGAAAATAAAACAAGTTGCATTTGTGATACAAACAAAAATTAACAAAATGAAAATAAGTACATGGTGTGGTTCAAACTAAAATATGAAATAGAAAAATATTTGCCATTGAAGTTAAAACACGAAACAGAAATAATACAATTAAGCAAGTTGCATTTGTTATAAAAATGTATGCAATAAAATGCAATTAAATATGAAATAAAGTAGTAATAAACTATTATATACATTTTTAAAAATAGAAAATTACACTAGATTTAAACAATTTGTATTAATATGACATATTAATATGAATTAGTATAGAAAATAGCCAAAAAATTAAAGTAAAACAAATGCATTAGTGATAAAGATTAAAATATAAAATGGAAAAAGAAAAACAAAACAAGCTACATTTATTGTAAAATTTAAAATGTACAAATAAATAACAAATAAAGAAATATTTCAAACCAAAAGGCATCTGGGTCTTCTAGGAAGGTGCAGGAGCTATTTGACTGGAAATGTACACAGAAAAAAAAAGCACCTTTGAAGAGGTATTATTATTATTATTATTATTATTATTATTATTATTATTATTATTGCACCTGAGATATTATTCCTCTTTGTGTTGAGTGGAATAATTGTAGGTAAGTGAAGGTTTAGACTTTAGACTTATTATTAAGACATATTATTAGGTATCAAGCCTTTAGATTTAACTAAATATATAAAACAACATGTATGTAAACCCCTCATTCAAAATCTCTCCAACACACGTATAGCGCTGATCCATCTGTCTTTAAATGCAGCACCGGGCCCGTCTCTGGTATAAAGCAGAGTGGCGCAGCGGAAGCGTGCTGGGCCCATAACCCAGAGGTCGATGGATCGAAACCATCCTCTGCTAGAAGCTTTTTCGTTTTTCTTTCCTTCACCTCTCAACAGCGCTGCACTATATAACACTGTAAATCCTTAACTTTTGTATATCTAAATTAGTCCGGTAAATTTGTATGAGCGGAATATTGTCTTAAACATAACGTGTAAATTAATCATGTAAATTCGCAACATTATTGTTATTTCTCTATTCTAAAGCGCTGTTGTTTTAAATGAACCATATAAATAACGGCAACTTTACTATTAAGGTGTAATTACTTTAATTATTTTATGTATTAATCTCGACATATTGTGTTTTCAGCGTTGTGTCTGTTGTCTGTGTGTTTTAGCTGTTGTTAGGTTGCCTCTGGGT